CTTTTTTTTTTTTTGCTTTATCATATGATTTTTTGTTTTGATTTAGATTGAATGGATTATGTATCTAATCATCAGATTGTTCGATATAAATATAATTTTTTCTTGTTTAAAGACAAACTTGATTGTAGATTAAGTTTACATAATGGATTAAAGATCCAATAATAATTAAGCCAAATCCAATTATATTTAATCCAAATTCTAGAGTTTTCTATAGAAAAATCAATACAACACCTCCTTGAAAAGTTATAAAGAATAGTAGATAATAATTCTATAGAAATTTATCTACATAATTATAACAAAATAATCTAGATATTAAAATAAAACACTCTAGATTTAAGATTAAAATATAAAATTATACTTTAGAGACTAAATTTTTTTATGTTAAATCATATGTATATATTTATATACATTTCTTAGAATAATAAATATAAAATTATTAGTTATATTAAATTTATTATATTATAAAAATTAACACAAAAATTATAATTAAAACGAATTTTATTATCTCTCAATTTTGATATATAATATCATTTATTACAACTGATAGTAAATATTAATATCATTTATTTTAAATGATGTAAATATTAATATTATTTTTTTAAGTGATATAAATATTAATATCACTTATTGCAAATGATATATATTAATATCAATTAATATAAGTGATGAAAATAGCTGTATCATTAATAATACTAGGTATTTACCCGCGCTATGCTACAAGATATTTTTCTAAATTTTGTATATATTTTTAATATAATAAAATTATTTTTATAATGTAAATGAGTATTATTTTTATTTTTTATTAGCTTAAGTTATGTATTTATATGTTTTAAATCTGAATAAACATTATATTTTTTAAAAAATTTATAATTTGCTATTAAATTTAGTTAGCTAACTAATTATATATATATATAGGAATAAAATATATAAGAATAAAGCAATACATCTTTAGTACCTTCATGCAAATGGCAAATGTAATATATTTTCTCCAATAATTTGCCACATGATCCTTCTTTGTAACTATATAAAGCAAAATGCCATTTAAAAAAAAATATTTATTAATTAATATGATTATTTTGAATTATAAAATTTATTTATTTATCAAATATTTTATTATAACATATCTTTCTAAAACTACCAAACTATAATCAATAAAATTTATATCAAAATAATTGCCATTACTTTAGAACTAAATAGAAAATTATGTTTATACTCTTAAAATACCGTTTTAGTTAAAGTTCAATAATTAAATTTTGGTTACTGTAAACATACTTTAACTTGGAAATTTAGCACATAGAAATTTCATCTTTTTACAAAAATCAAAAAATCGCATTTCCCGTCAAAAAAAAAAAAACTTCATTTTCCCATTAAACTGAGAAATCGGCTATTCCCGCCATAACCAAAAAAATTCATTTTCTCGTCAAACCTAAAACCTAAAATTTCATTTTCCCGCGAGAACCCGTATTTTTTCACCAATGCCGAGAAATTACGTTTTTTCACAAAAACAAAAAAATTTCATCTTTCTGCAAAAACCAAAAAAAAAATTGTATTTTTCCGCCAAAATCGAAAAATTTATTTTTTCTGCGAAAACTGAGAAATCGTCTATTTCTGCCAAAAAAAAAATCATCATTTTCTTGTCAAGCCCAGAATCACGCTTTCTTACAAAAACAAATAAGCTACAATTTCCCGCGAAAACCAAAAATTGCATTATCTTCCGTGAAATTGTGTTTTCCTGCAAAAACTAAGAAATTGTTATGCTTTTATCGGTTCAAATTTTTGGTGATGTGTGAGCTTCTTATAACATAAGGCTTTTTGTGTTGTTGTCATGGAAGCATAGTTGATGCCGAGCCTACACTTTTTCAATCATATACGTCTATGTCAAACAAACAGATAATTAGATTTTTTTATTATTTATTTATTGTTATTTATTATTTGGATTTGGTTTTGGCAAAAAAAAAGAAACTATGATTTAATTTTTTTATTTGTTATTTATTTATTGTTTGGATTTGGTAAAAAATAAAATAATGTTTTTTATTTGCTGTTATTAGTTATTTGGGTTTGGGTTTGGTAAAAAGTAAAACAAAAATTAATAAAAAAATATTTGGGTTTTTAATGGGTTTAAGTTTAAAAATTAAAATAAGTAGATGAGATATATTAATAAAATATTTTGATTGGTGATTATTTTTGCTGATGTGTCATGTTTATAAAGCTTAAAAAAACTGAGGTGTCAAGCCATGGAGAGACTTTAGTGTTATTGTTGTGTTGATTGATATAAATGATTAACATCACTACTTCCAGAGTCATTTAATTAAATAATGCAACTGAATTTGCATCAATCAAACAATTATATGAACAAAGAAAATAAATGATACAACACACATGATTTCTTGTAGTGAGAATAAACTATCTAATGATACTAATCAACAAATTAAAAGGACTACAAAGTTTTGACAAAAATTGAACAATTGGGGATATTTAGTATCAAGATTCCAAATCAGCATATTATGATAGAGGTCTTTTAATTTTTTTTGCAATCTTTTGGAACTACTAAAGTAACTATCAATATTATTGCAATTTTTGCCTGTTACGACAAATCTTCATGTAAGACATCAAAAAAATAAAGAAACATTATTTTGAATGGATTATTTGTCAGAAAGTAAAAGTTATTAGCTATTGCAATGCATTATAATGTCATATTAGCTTTAAGACTACACACATCAATGGATAAAATCAATCAGAAACCACATCTAATACATTAAACTCTTTCTAATGTCATTTGAATAAATAAAATATTACTTAATGTTTGTTAAAATTCATTAAATGATTACTACCTTTTTTTGTTATCAAAAACAAATACTTATTATTAGTTAAAGTTCTTCAGATGTTTAATTGTGAATATCAAACTAAAAATCCTGTTATTATAATATCTCATAAACATTTTAAAATAATAAAAAGTCTTTCATAGATGACAATATGTAAAATAAATAATGTTTATGTAAAATAAATATATAAACATTATTTATTTATCATGACTCGTGAATTATTCCTTAATACAAAGCAAAATTGAATTTTATGAAAAAAATTAATCTTTCATGTTATTCGAGTAAAATGATAGTTAAAATAGTATAATAAAAAAATCCACAATAATAATAGTGTATTGGCAAATATATATGACGTGAAGCAATTTTTAGTAAATATTTGAAACCAGTAAACAATTAATTTCCATTCGAAATATAACAACTACAATATAGTATTCTATTTACATTGATTAATTATTTTCAAGGTAATTTTAGAGAAATATTTAAAACAAAATAAAAATAAATATATTACATGGATTTTCATTTACATAGATCGTTGAGATACTCTTCTGATAGAGATGCTATATGTCATTAGTCTATCATCAGTTTGTTTTTGATGTCATAAGTGTGAATTTAGTTTGTCATTAACTTTCAGTGGAACTTTCTATAGTTGGATTTGTAAAATATTGTTACGTTGATCTATTTACAACATTTACTCTTACAAGGGTCAATATTTGTAACAATTTTTTTTTTTAATTTTAGGTCATCTTGGTTCATTTGCTCCATATATATATATATATATATAGAGGTTTCTTCAGCTAAAAAATCTATACAGTTAAGACAATAGTAATGTTCCCTAAACAATTGTGGTTGAGATATATCAATCAGACCCCTTAACACTCGTGATTTACATTGAATCAGATTGATATCTCATTAGATATTATGGTTTTTTACTCATATGTTCACTGTAAAAGATTGTGGCCAGCGTAGGTACCCAAGTGATTTCTACGATCGAATATGGGTTCCATACTTTCAGTCATAATGGAAGAAAATTTCCACCACTCTCAAAGTGAAAAACGATAACGGTTATCTTGTGCCTCAAGATATCCTCATGACCGCAGCAATACCTGCGAATGCTAGTGCGCCATTGAGGTTTACCAAGGATCTTGACAGTGATTGCTATTAAACACATCAAAGCCACCCAGGGATTGAGTAGATCGAGTATCATGGCAAGGAGATCCATGCGTCCCACAACAGTTTTTGTGGGACGTTCTAAGTTGCAACGACAAGAATCCGTCTACGCCACCAAGAATCATTTCCTTGTGAGATCTCTATAACACAATTCACATTATATATATATGACTTATTAAAAAACATTTTCTAACTACAATACACTTGTTTTTTTTTTTTTTTTTTTCTTGTTTGGACTTATAAACAAAATCGTAAAATGAAATTATCAGCTGTATATGTTTTTAGCATCGTGTTTAACCAATGTGTTTTCTCATTGTTGGTATGTAGGTCGAACTTCTTCTAAGAGTTCACCATATAAATTTGGTGAGCCTTGTTGGATATCGTGACGAAAGAGATCACTTGGCTCTCATCTACGAATACATGCTTAATGGAGACTTAAAGATCATTTATCAGGTAAAAGTGAAAGATTTATATATTATATGTACATATATCATTTTCTTGATTATCACAAAATGTAACTCATAAAACGGCTAGTTTTGTCAATCTAATACAGGAAAATATGAGGGCCCCGTTTTAAAATGGTCTAACAGACTACGAATAGCTGTTAATGCTGCTTTAGATTTGTTCTACAACTTTTTTTTTTTTTAAAAGGGCCTTCGTATTAAAATGTAAAAGAAAAGAAAAAACTATATAAGCCCAGTCAGGTTAGAGTAATATGGGTTTATTCTAGTACAGTAAGTTTTAGGAACATAATCTTAGTCCAATTCAATAAGCCTAGTCACACATCAAAGATTAAAGAAGAACCACAATCGGGAGAGAACACATGCATCATCAGGGGGAGATGAATTAACCCGACAGAAGTAGAAAGCCAGAGATTTGAAGGCCATGAATAGCCGATCATTAAATGAAGGAGGAGCCGATTAGGCAGTGAGGAGCTATTGTTGGAGGAGAGTCATTGCCATCTAGGGGTTAGATTTTCTGAAGCTTGAGATTTTGTTACACACCAGACGGTCAACCATTTTCACAATTGTTGCTCAATACGATAGATCTGCCAGTGAAGGCGATTGTTTCACTCCATCCAGATGAAATAGAGAACAGCTTGCCAACTAAAAAGAGCCAACTGTCTTCTGTTCTTTCCACCATATAGGTTGATCAGTTACGAGATGGAACTAACCCAAGAGCGCTGAGGATCAATTTCCGTCCTGAGAGAGATATGACTCGAGACGGACCAAGAGTAACCACATTCGAAGAAAATATGATCCTGACTTTCAGGGGCATAGTAGACAAAGCGGGTCTGTCTGAAGACCCTAACTCATAATTCTATCTCTAGTTGGGCAGCGATTCAGCATAAACAGCCATGCCAGGAACCTATGTTTCGGGATACCTCATTTGTTCCAGATTATACTATCCCAAGGGACAGTTGGTGAGAGCTCTTGAAGCTGATTGTAAACGTCGCCAGTTGAATACGCTTTTTCGGGATATCCTCAATAACCCACTCGTAAGTATCTTCCCCCTTTGATAATTGCACTGTTGTGAGATAAGTCTGAAGATTAACAAAGTTGTCAGATCTTGCAGGGGGCTGAGCCCAATACCCATTGCGGAAGATACTTGAAATAGTTGCATTTTGGGAGATACCGAGTCGAGATGGCCTGCATGGTGTAGCTAGAAACGATAGCAAGGAACGAAAAGGAGTCCAATTATCAGACCAGAACCGAGTTGTATTCCTGTCACGGACCCTTCTCTTCATCCAGGTCAACGCCACATCTCTAAGCTTAAGAAGCTTATTAGAATACCACGAGAATTTTCGCTTTAAGTTATGCAGGGACCCTTCAAGAATCTCCTGCTTGAACCAAGCAACCCAGATCGACCTTGCTTGGAAGAAGAGAAGCCAGACGAGTTCAAGAGTGCACGCTTTATTCCAAATGGTAAGATCCCTGATACCCAAACCGCCTTCATTTTTTGGACGAGTCACTTGTGCCCTAGAAACTCTTGCTGAATGGTTACCCTCTAAACTCCCCTTCCACAAGAACGCACTATAGATTAAGTTTATCTTCTTTATGCAGGTTTTCGGGCAGGACAAAAGTGGAACACCATAAGTTAGAGATACCCGCAATAACTGTTTGAATAAGCTGAAGCCTACCAGCGAAGGACAGAGATTTGGCACTCCAGCAGGTAACTATTTATCTCACTTGATGTTGCAAAGTTTCATAGTTGAGGAGACTTAGCTTTTTGGTGCAAAGGGGTACACCCAAATAAAGAACAGGCAGACTCCCATTAGGCATACCCGTGGAAAAGTTGATGGTGTCCTTCTCGTGCGTAGTAAGTCCCTAACAGAAGAAGATTAACTTATGGACACTTACAGCTAGGCCAGAGCGAAGCTCAAACTCCCGAAGAACTTGGAGAACACTTTGCAAGGAAGTCAGAGAGCCTTCTATGAAGATCAGGAGATCATCCGCAAAGCACAGATGGTTAATTTTCGACTTCTCACACTTAGGATGATAATTAAACCATCCTTCTTCTGCTGCCTTGTTTAGCATGTGAGAGAGACAATTCTTAACTATGACAAATAAATAGGAAGATAGTGGGTCACCTTGCCTTAAGATCCTTTTTCCTTTGAAGTACTCCTGAACAGTTCCATTGTAGCCGATAGTAAAATGAGGAGTAGTAACGCAAGCTCTAAGCCAGGAGATGAATTGTTCCGGGAGAGATAGTCCTTCCAGACAGTTAAAAAGAAACTCCCAAGATAGGGTATCAAAGGCTTTCAGAATGTCCACCTTTACTGTGATTCTCTTTGGCCATTTATCTTTATGATAACCATTGACTAGTTCACCAGCTAGAACCATATTTTCAACAAGTAGCATGTCCTTAACAAACATTGTTTGAATTGGCGGATTAACGTGGGGAGCAAAGGCTTGATTCTATTGACCAGCAGGCGGAAGACAACTTTATAGACTGTGTTGAGACAAGCGATAGGCATGTAGTCAGCTATACTAGAGGCACCAGGGAACTTGGGAACAAGAGTCAAAATAGTCGAGTTGGCAGAGGAGGGCAGAAAAGACGAGATGAAGAGGTCCCTAATAGAGCAGGTAACTTCTTCACCTAGAAAACCCCAAGCAGCTTTGTAGAAGCCGGATGTAAAACCATCAGGACCTGGAGATTTATTTGGGTTTAGTTTGAACATGACCCTAGTGATTTCCTCCGCTGTAGGAAATAGAGTTAAAGACACAGCTTGGGCATGGTAGCATTGGTAATGCAGCAGATCCAAGAACCGACTGGGGAGCAACTTAGTGATAGCAGGGCCATAGCAATCTGGGGCAATGATGGACTTAAAATGGTTTATAGCATGATCAAACTATTACTTAAAATATGAAACTATTAGCCAGAGGGTCGTTAATGATCAAATTATTACTGAAAATAAAAGACCAGACCGAATTATAGCTTGTCCGAACCTGAGCAACTTTGTGGAAGTAAGATGTATTATGATCACCCAATATGAGCCAGTTTATTCATGATTTTTGCTTGAAGTACATTTCCTCAATTACCCGCAGGAAGTTCCACTTATCGTGGCAAGCACGCTCATCCAGATATAGATGAGGAGAAGGAGATTGGAGGGGCTGAATCTGAATTACTTGTAGCTGATGGTAAGCCTCTGGAACCTTCACTTGAATTTGAGAAAAATTATCCCTATTGAGTTGTTTTAGAGCTCCTTTGATTAGTTTTTGCTTCCAACAGATATTTGATAGAGTAAAACGTATGAGTTTAAGTTGAGCTCAAGCATCAAACACCACTTGCAAGAAACTCATATGCTTTGTTATGTAATTGAAGAACTTGAAGGGACGAGTTCCCACCGTTGGCAAGGGCACTGCTGGATTAAGTATACATGGGAAATGGTCAGAGATTAGAGGAGGAAAGAAAGCAGCTGAACTTTGAGAAATGTTGGAGACAAACTGCATGTTCACAAGAACACTATCAAGCTTTTTCGCAATTGGGGAAGAAGGCCGACAGTTTGTCCAAGTGAAGAGCGGCCCTTGATACCTGAAACCAAACAATCCCATCTGATTAAGGCAGTCTCTTAAGTCCATCATTTGTGAATCAAGGCTGTTTACATTAGGCTCTGAAAGCTCCACAGGGTGCACAATTTGATTTAGATCTCTGCCAACAAACCACGGATACATATCAAGCTTGAGGTACTGAAAAGCATCCAATAATTGACCCATAGGTTCGATCTCTCTTCTGTTAAATTGGATGCATAAATCGCAATATAATAGAACTGATCCCCATAAGGTAGCTTAACTTCGCAGGTAATGGACTGACGGGTGAGAAGCTTAATGGTAACGTCAACTGTATCCTTCCAAATAAGAATAATATTGCCATCCTCATCCGAGTTGTGATTAGAGGTAATATTCCAACCCTGACAAGTAGTAGACATGAAGTGGTTCAGGTTATGATCTTTAATGTGTGATTCCAAAATGGCTCCAAAAAGAGGCTGGTGACTAGTCAGCCAATGCGCAAAAGACTGTTGCTTTGCCGTGTCATTAAGACCCCAGACATTCCAAAAAAAAGGTTTTAGTACTCATAGGGAGGTGTTAATATGCTCTTTAAGTATAGGAGGAGCATTATTCAAAGTAATCGTAGTAGACGGAAAGGCTGCAAAAGTGAGAGGACAACTTAGTGTTGAAATGATCGGATTGAACCGAGACCTTTTTAACGATGGGGTGTCCTTCTTTTAAGGGCTATAAGGATAAGGTTCTCCTCAAGGGTTAATAGAGGCTGGCAAAGCCAAAAAAAAAGACGCGTCACCTTTGGGGATCCCCTCTAAAGACCGGGAAGTAGTGCTTGGGGCCTTCCAAGAAAGAGACACCGGAAGACCAATGGCAGAAGCTGCCTTTGCAGAGACAACTGTTCCTGGTTTTAAAAGAACCATGGATACTGGCGGGAGCTGGAGGGTATCAGTAGCCGCGAGATCAGTAGCAGAAACAGGGGCGACTTGATCAGATGAAGAAGAAGCATGATCCTTTTCTTTAACTACGACTGGAAAAAGCTCTGTAGCAACAGAAGAGCGCAGACCAATATGGGCTGAAGTAGAAGGGGAATCCCCTAAATTATCCACCTTCCTAGCAGCAGACTGTTGGTGGGCAACATTTTCCCCCCTTGATCTTTGAGGTAGTAACTTTAGACTGAGCATTGGCAGGAGTGTGAACAACCTCAGGGGGAAGCTGGAGACAGTTACGAGCAATGTGGCCACGTTCTCTACAGTGGGCACACGAAGAGGGGGTCCACAGGTAGTCAACTTCAACAACCACAACCTCTCCACTCTATCTGGTGAATTCCACAAGTCGGGGTAAAGGTTGAGACAAATTGACCTCAACTTTTACATGTAAAATGGTAAGGCTAACAAGATTTTTTGTGAAATCATCAGTCTCAACGGGCTCACCAACTAACCCAGCAATGAGACTTAGTCCTTGTTGATGGCGCAAGACCAAGGGAACACCAGTTAGATGGGCCCACAGTTGGAACGGCCTGGTCGCAAGGCTGTCTGAGGAGTAAGAAGAGGACCATTGAGCAGTGTGGAACATAGAGTCTTGGACATACCAGATCCCTTTCTCGAGAATCTTCTGCCTGAGGTAATCACTAGGAATCCTCACAATCATAGATCTAGAAATATGATTGTTGTGAATCTCTATATGCCAACCTTTCCCCCACATATGGTTAAGTACTGTTTGAATTTGACTAAAGGGGGCGGTCTGCCATTCAACTAGCAAACAATAAAGTCACGGTGAAATTCTAACTCCTCGTTGAAAGACTTCATCAGGAATAAGAACGGTCTATCCGAATCAGCAAAGGCAATGGGAGCCAACCTTTTGAGTGAGCGATCCTCAAACTGCCGGATACGCTCTACTAGCCCTTCTGGGCTGACAGGAGATGTGATCCTCAAACTGTCGGATACGCTGTACTAGCCCTTCTGGGCTGACAGGAGAAGTGGATTGAGGGACACTTATTGGAGGCACCGCAGGGAGGCCCACAGAGGTCGAACGTCCATTTCGTTTGTTGTAGCTAGATAGAGAAGCATTGTTTATAAGAAAGGGAGAACTAGATTTCGGTGGCAAAACCTTGAACTTTTCTGGAAGAGGCCCTTCTGTAGACTGTGATGAGATAAGCCTATCTGAGGTAGTAGTGTAATGCCCCCGACCGCCCCTACCGGCGAGTCACCCATCCCTCCATCGGGCTCGTGGGCCCCGCCCCTGTCCGACGGCCGGTGCGTTATTTTTTTCCCGTAGACAACCGACTTATTTATTGACCCTGCAATCACCACATGATCTTTCCCCGTGTTTTGGCCTCACTCACACGGTTTTGGAAATCACTTTCCGAAAGGTCACCCATCCTAGTTCTACTCCAGCTCAAGCATCCTTAACTGTGGAGTTCTCTCGGGGCCAGTGACCGAAACGATAAGTGCACATTGATGACATAGGTAGCCAAATCAATCCATTTAAACTTATTCAAATGGGCCAGCCCAGGTCGTTATAATTCTCCCCCACTAAACGGGAATTCGTCCCCGAATTCTGATCCCGATAGTGTGAGCCTTAACCCCAAACCCCAAGACAGTCTCCTGGGACAGAACCAGTTTGACTTCCCAGGCTCTGATACCACTTGTAAAGCCTCCGACCGCCCATTCCGGCGAGTCACCCATCCCTCTGTCGGGCTCGTGGGCCCCGCCCCTGTCCGACAGTAAGTGCGTTATTTTTTCGGAGCCCAACCGACTTATTTACTGACCCTGCAATCACCACATGATCTTTCTCCGTGTTTTGGCCTCACTCACACGGTTTTGAAAATCACTTCCCGAAAGGTCACCCATCCTAGTCCTACTCCAACTCAAGCACTCTTAACTGTGGAGTTCTCTCAGGACCAGAGACCGAAAAGATAAGTGCACTTTGATGACAGAGGTAGCCAAATCAATCCATTTAAACTTATTCAAATGGGTCGGGCCCGGGTCATTACAATTGGGTCAGTAAATAAGTTGGTTGTGCTCCGGAAAAAAATAACGCACCGGCCGTCGGACAGGGGCGGGCCCACGAGCCCAACGGAGGGATGGATGACTCGCCGGTAGGGGCGGTCGGGGGCGTTACAAATTGTAACGACCCAGGCCCGACCCATTTGAATAAGTTTAAATGGATTAATTTGGCTACCTATGTCATCAAAGTGCACTTATCTTTTCGGTCACAGGTCCCGAGAGAACACCACAGTTAAGGGTGCTTATGCTGGAGTAGGACTAGGATGGGTGACCTTCTGGGAAGTGATTCCCAAAACCGTGTGAGTGAGGCCAAAATACGGGGAAAGATCTTGTGGTGATTGCACGGTCAGTAAATAAGTCGGTTGGGCTCTGGAAAAAAATAACGCACCGACCGTCGGACAGGAGCGGGGCCCACAAGCCTGACGGAGGAATGGGTGACTCGCCAGAATGGGCGGTCGGGGGCGTTACAAGTGGTATCAGAGCCTGGGAAGTCAAACTGGTTCTGTCCCAGGAGACTGTCTTGGGGTTTGGGTATAAGGCTCACACTATCGAGATCAGAATTCGGAGACGAATTCCCGTTTAGTGGGGGAGAATTGTAACGACCCGGGCCCGGCCCATTTGAATAAGTTTAAATGGATTGATTTGGCTACCTATGTCATCAAAGTGCACTTATCTTTTCGGTCACAGGTCCCGAGAGAACACCACAGTTAATGGTGCTTATGCTGGAGTAGGACTAGGATGGGTGACTTTTTGGGAAGTGATTCCCGAAACTGTGTTAGTGAGGCCAAAATACGGGGAAAGATCTTGTGGTGATTGCACGGTCAGTGAATAAGTCGGTTGGGCTCCGGAAAAAAATAACGCACCGACCGTCGGACAGGAGCGGGGCCCACGAGCCCGGCGGAGGGATGGGTGACTCGCCGATAAGGGCGGTCGGGGGCATTACAAGTAGCTTCCACTGAGCTATGGTTCAAATTTGAGGCCTCAGTCATTATTAGTTCGGCAGTAGTGGACTTGGTGGTGTTAACCACAGTATTTGGAGCATCAGTATCTTCTTGAACAGGAGATAGGAGAGTTTCAGACCTAGAACTTAAAGTGCTAGGATGGGAGTCATCAGTAATTTCAATGACGGCCTCTGTTATCTCGGCCTCAGCAGTAGTCACAGAATCTTGGGCTGGATGCTGAGCAGCAGGGTCCGAGCCAACAGTAGCAAGAGTAGCAGTAGCAGGAATAGTGGAACCAGAAGGCATTTTACCTCCTGGAGATGAGAGCGGTGGATAATGAGCAAGTGAGAGGTGAGGATCTGGAGGATCCAAAGGCTTGAGGGAGGGAGGAGGGCTTTCACTAGAGGTGAACGGCTGAAAAGTCCTGCCAGAAACCCGATCTGTAGGGAGCCAACGATTTGTCATTAGAAATCATGCCTCTAAGAAAAAGATTTTCTCGGTGTTATAACTTTCCGGTTTATTCTATTACTTAAAACAGTTTCATTCCCTTTGTCACTAGAAGATATATATTATTAAAATATATAGACATGTAAATATATGTGCATACATCTTAATATTATTTTCCGATCATTTGTTTAGCTAATATGTTTGGCAATTTTAATATGAAAATAAAACTTTTCATAGAAAAATCCTAAAAGTGATCTAATAGTTTGTCTATACTCTATCCTTAATCTGTTATTAATTTATCTTTATTCTGTCATTAGTTTATATTTAATTTACTAAGATTTATATAATAAATTGATCTGCTATTAGTCTGCCACTAATCTGCAAAAATAAAAATAGTTAAAATAGTAGCATTAAAATTTATAAAATATTCATTAAAAAAATTAATTTCTATAATTTTCCCAATGGTCTAATGGAAAGTCATTTTGGATAAGCACCGACTCCATATACATTAAGTCTTTTTTGACGAGAATATGATAGGTATATTTGGGATAATTTTTGAAATGACCCACTTCATAATTTTCTTACAAAATATAATTATTTCTAAAATGACCTATAAGAGGAGTCCAGTAGTTTGCTTTAATATGTTGTTAGTCTGCCAACAATTTGTAATTAGTCTACTATTAGTCTTCCAGTAGTCTATATTCAATTATTTGACCAATCACTCTGCTAGTATTTTGTCATTAGTCTGCATTGAGTCTGCTATTAGTCTATATATAACAGTAGTTAGAACGGTAACGCTGATATTTATAAAAATCGTAAAAAATGTCATTTTCACAATTTTCCCTTAATGAGTACCTACTTCATATAATTTTATCATTATGTGTCATTTTGGAGCATTTCCTCTACTATATATTTTTATGAACAAATTTGCATCACGCTTTCACTCACATGAGTCTTTTGCATAGAATTAGAGCACTTGAATTATGGATGCCGACAATCGATAGTGCATAGAGATATCAAAAGTACAAATATATACTGTTGGACAATCAATTTATGGCCAAAATTGCTTATTTTGGGCTTTCAAGATCATTCCAAGTCGAAGATGAATCTCGGGTTTCCACGGTTGTGGCTGGTACTCTCGGATATCTTGATCCCGAGTAAGTACTATAAGTT